CATAAACTGTTCCGCGCTGTATATCCCCCGGGTATGTGTCCTTTATGTATATGGCTGTAGTATTAGTGAAAGTACACGCTGGTATGTATCTTTGACGAATGTTTTAAGTAAAAATCTGTTGCATCTGTCGGTCTCTCTCTGTCTGTTTGTATGTTACTTGTTTATTGTGGTGTACTCTATGATATGCAAGTCATTTGATGTAATGTTATTTATAGCATGTGATTCACATTAAAGGCGTATCCAGTGTAACATTATGTAACATTATATATATATATATATATATATATATATATATATATATATATATATATATATATATATATATTATATATATATATGTATATATATATGTGTGTGTGTGTGTGTGTGTGTGTGTGTGTGTGTGTGTGTGTGTGTGCATATATATACAACACACACACACACACACACTCATGTGCGCGTGAGAGACAAACAGCGATCCCTATAACCCCTCTTCAACAGAGACTTTCCTTCAGAGAAGACCTCGCCTCCTCCTTCCTCCCTCCAGCGTCTTGTCTCCTCCTGCGATGCCTCCGCGGTTTCCTTCAGACGCCAGACCTGGAGCCCAAGATGTCGGTAAGGGATTCAGAGAGATTGTTTGTTTTTTTGGTGTGTTGTTTTTGTTATTTGGATTATGCAATAGTATATATGGTGTATTGGTTTTATAAGTTGTTTCTATACATTGACATACACCCACACCCACATAGATAGATAGATAGATTAATCTTTATTGACCACAAATGTACATGGATATATCATGGAAATAGACATGGAGATAATATAACAATACAACTAATTAAACAGCTTCCTATAGGGACTTTGAAGCTTAAAATAAATATGTAGTCCATAAAATTACTGTAAAAAAAATCTCACACACATACACCCCCACCCTCCACACACACCACAAACACCACACACACACTCACCTCCCACCTCCTCCCCACACACAAACACACGCAAACAGACAAACAAACCCACACAACCACACAGTATATAACCCCCCTTATCCCCCCCCCCCTTCCAGTGCCTTTCCCCGTCAGCACAGAAGCCATACAACCAGCACATGACATTAAAACCCAACTTGCCCCTTGCTCCTCCGGCGTGCAATACGAGGCAACGGCAATGCAATATACAACAGCCAGCCCCGTCGTCTTGGCCTCTGCAACATGCCCAATTTGCAAGGTATTTGTCCTGCCTTTCATGTTGATGTTGGAGAGAAGTGATGGTATATCATGTTGAGAATACTGCTGATGCAATTACGATTTTTTTGTGTGTTTATGTTTATATAACCATTTGATACACAAACATATATGTATATGATGATATACATATACTTATTTATGATTATATATCTATCTAGTTGATTAGTTAGCTAAATAGCTGACTATCTGTCTATCTATGTCTACCTATCTATCTATATCTATGTCTATCTATATGTCTAATCTATCTATATTTCTGTCTATCTATCTCTATCTATATTTCTGTCTATCTATCTATCTATATTTCTGTCTATCTAATTTTCTATCTATCTATCCATCTATTTACATATCTATTTATCTACCTATCTGCCTTTTTCCATCTATTTATCCATCCACCCACCCACCCATCCACCCACACACACAAATATACTTCCATACACCCCATCACCCCCTCACCCCTGACCTTAGCCACTACCCTTATCTCCCCCCCCCTCTCTCTCCTCCCCACCAGGCGGGTCTTATCCAGCAAGAATTCCCTCTTGGCCTCCTCTGCTGTTATCTCGTGAGGAGGATAAGATGCAGCAACTGTGGCAAGGAGTTCTGAAGGCGCAGGATGTCTTGCTATAAGGATGGCTGTTCTTGGTATTGTTAGTATGTGGCTTAATATCATTGTTCGTGTTGTTGCTTTTTTGTCATTACTATTTTTTGTCGTATTGTTATTTTATTCATTGTTTTTCTTTATTAGTTAATATTTTGTGTTTACTTTTTATATTTTCGCTATTGTTTGTATTTTTATTATTATTGTTATTATCATTATTATCGCTGTGTGATTATTGTTATTATTAGCTTAACTGTTGTTGTAATCATTTTCTTATTATCATGGTAAAATGCAAGACAAGTAGCCTAGTTGGCAACTGCCGAGCTTAGCCCCGCCTCTGTGCTATGATTTATTGCTAATATTAAGCGGATTTTCTTGGTTTCGTTTTCCATATTATACTATTCTGATTACTGAACCATTTTCAGAGAAAATGTATTGAAGAAAACACTACCATAAGATAACACACAGACTGACGAGGGTGAAAAGGGGGCGGAGCTAAATGACGTCATCGCCATCTAGCCAATGACGGAGCACTTGGGATACCAGATGCGTCTAGATACACAATTATTTGTATAAATTACTCGATATTATTAAAATTACCAGAAGGAAAACCACGAATTTCATCTTTTACTCACAATAACAAACCATACCAGTGGCTAAATTGAAATGGTGCTATTTTTAAAGT